AGCTGCCATCCTTCCACCTGTACCTTTGCACACAGATGCTTCCTTTAGGGTCTGCTCAGCCTCAGACCCTTAAGGCCCAGCCAAGGGTCAGGAGCCTCTCCACCCAGCCAGCAGGACAAACGTCCAGGGAAGACACATGAATACATAGAAGGCACCGGTTTCCTCCTCCTGCCTTCTGTCAGGGCTCTTTGGAGACGGGACTGGGACTTTTGTTTTTGCAAAGTCCCATTGTTCTGCCCTCACAGGTGCAGGGAGCAGCGCTCTGTTGCCAGCTCCAGCAAAAATCCTTTCTCTTGTAGAAAATTTAGAAATCCTATTAAAGGAATAAAAGGTCAAAGTCTAGATAACACCATAGGAACTCCTCTTAAACGTTTTATTTCTCTAGAAGAGACTTTATAATCCAAACTGTCTGAAGTTTTAAGAGAATCTTCAAGGAAAATGGATTATTTTATTGGTTTTCCCAGCCAGGTCTTTCTTGATTGTAAAGCACTGACCTTGAAGCCCAGCTCCTAGGTAAGGCCAGGTCAGGGCCTGTCCCCTAGTTTGAGGGACACGAGGGTTGGATGAGTATTAGGGCTTTGCATTTGGTCCTTCCTCTGTGGGGCAGGCTCAGTGAGGTCTTCCCGGCTGGGGCTAGTCTTCATGGTGTGTTTGTGAAAGCCCACAAGGACTGCCTTCTACTGTCCCTAGGCAAATGAGCAGAGACCTCCTCCTGCAAAATGAAAATCAGAAACTTTACCTCCCCAGCTTTCTCGCACCACATGGCCAGGCTCACAATCACTCCTCCTTAGGTTTTTGGAACCACCCAGAAGATGAAGGTGGACCTAGAGCAGCACCTGGCCCGGCTCAGCGAGATCTTTGCTGCCCGAGGAGATTACATGCAGACCCTGAAGTTCATGCAGCAGATGGCGGGCAACATCATCGCACAGCTCTCGGGACTGCCAGTGTGGAGGGACGCCACCACAGAGCTGGCCGAGCTGTCCAGCCAGACTGGCTACGTGGAGTACTACAGGTGTGGGGCCAGTAGGGGCAGGGGAGGGCAGTGGGGCTGCCTGGCTTCCCTCGTCTGAACCTCCATGCTGGGGCCAGGCAGAGATGTGCCACCAGGAAGTCTTAATAAGCCATCAGCTGACATCAGGAAGTCAGGAAGACATAAGAACTTGCAGGGCTGGAGTGGTGAGTGTGCAGAATAGCCATCTTGACAGGCAGGCATCCGGTGTGGACTTGGCTTCCAGCACATGCGGGATGGTCCTCCTGGACTTCCTCCATTCACATCCCCTCTGTGCCCATGCCAGGTGAAGGCACTGGGCACAGGGGCAGCTGCCCGCCCTCCAGGTACAAGGTCTAGTGAAGGTTGCTATGGGGAGAGTGAAGAAGGGATTTCAGCCTTTGGGCAACTCCCAGTTGAGAGAGGTCACTAGTGAAGTGTACTCATCATGCTCCGGGGCACAGTGCCCAGCATGGAGCAGGAGTGAGGGTGGCGTGGATACTGGAGACACAAGGAACAAGTGTCAGCTCTCTGAACACCTCCCCACCCCAATTTGTTGGCTTCTCTCCAAGCCATTGACGAAAGTCAGGGTCTTTAGCCCAACAGTACACAACCTACTCTGATGTGCTGCATTTCTCCCCTCTGTGTCTTAAAGCCCTAGCCCAAGAGGTCACTGCTGGACAGAGTCCAGGGGCCTCTCCCCTTTCTGAGAGTAGGACATGGCAGGGCTCCAGGGAAAGGGTCCTCATGAAGTCCCCAAAGTTTTGGACAGCACTCTCCATCCCTCACCTCCTAGCCTGCCCCGCCCCTGCACTCCCACAATGTCAAGGACACTCTGGATCGAAGGGGACCTTGGACTAACTCCCCAGCCAGTGGATACTCATAAGCAAAAGTACCTTCCTCCCAAGGGACAGAAAGAACCTGCCTGTGCCCTCCTCTGGCCCCAAATAGCAGATTCTGATGGGTCCTGTGACACATGGGCCATTCCCTTCAAAAACTTTGTGTCAGGTTGGGACTGACAGGGCTCCCAGCGCAGCCAGTGTAGGGCCGCATACATTTAAGGGCTTCCTGTGGGCATTTTGGTAAGGACACTGATGAAATAAGTCAGCATTTGCCTAGAAAAAGGGGCTTATTAATGATTTCATTAAAAAGTGGAAGAGGGTGGTGGCACCTGGGCAGCTGCTATTTCAGTGTAGGTTCTCAAGGGGTCCCCTGACCCCAGGCCCCACCCCTTATTTAGGTCAGGGCAGGAAAGGTTTAATCCAGAGTCAAAACCTGTCTACCCAGAACTGATGGTTCTTCCCCGCCGCTGGTCCAGGTCTGGGCACTAACCAGCCTTCAGGCCAGGGCTTCCCTGGAGAGCCCCCTGTCTTTGCTTTAGGAATGGTTCTTGAGCAGAGCCATCAGATGAGCAAATATTTCTGAGTACTTTTGTACAAGATTAAAAGCAAGAGAGAGGCCTTGAATCAGGGGGGAGAGCTGAGGGAGGGGTGGGATGGTGGGAGGCATGGGAGTGGGAGCACTCAGGGTTAGACACACAGCCATCAGCCCCCACCCAGTTCCTCTGGGAAGAGGCCTCTGCCCCTAGGAGCTGTTTCCAGGAACCCCCTACAACCCAGAGGCATGGATGCTGAGAAAACACATTGGATCACACAGTGGACAGCAGGCTGGAAAAAGCCCTAAGTGGATTTCCTGCTGATGGGTGGAGCAGGGGTGGGTGGTGACCACAAATCTTTAGGTTTGAGGCACACAGCCAGTGTTTGGAGAGATTCCCCATGGCTGGCTCTGTCCCTTACAGGAAAGATTGATATGGACGGTCTAGAATTCTGCACCAGGCTGTCCCCATGGTGGGCCTCAGTTTTCCAGTCTGTAGAATGGGATCCTGACACTGGATGGTTCCTGAGCTTCCTTCTAGCTTTGAGTCTAAAACTGGCTCCGTGGTGAGAGTGCAGGACAGGCTCTGCCATTCCCCAAAGTTCCCCACCCCATTCCTAGGAACCCAGAGACATACTGTGAGCTGCCCCCTGCTCTGTGCAGGGTTTAAGGACTTTGATTAGGTGCCTTAAGCCTTGATTGATTCACAGTCAGAAAGAACCTCACTTAGCAAAGGGGCCTCCAGCTCTCTCCCTTCCCCGCCCCTCCCCCCCTCCCAGCCTCTTTGTCTCTCTCTGGAAGCCCCACCCCAGCTCCCTGCCTGAACTCCAGCCTCCTGCTTGCCCTCTGGTGTTAGTGATGGAGAAAACCACTGCTGGGAAACGGGGTCATGAATTCACTTGGCTCTTGCATCAAGACAAAGCCACTAGCCACATGTGGCTATTTAAATTCAATTAAAATTAAGGTTGAAAACTCATTTCCTGAGTTGCACAAGCTGCGTTCCAAGTTCTCAGTAGCCTCCTGTGTGTGGTGGCAGATAGAGTGGCCAGCACAGATTTAGAACGGTTCCACCACTACAGAGCATTCTAGCACACAGTGCTGGTTCAGACACAGCCATGAGGTTTAGGCAGGAGGTGGAAAGGAATAACTTTGTCCAGACAAAAATGGAAATGCAGCCCAGGAGTCCCTGCAGAGCCCTTCTGGGTGCCTGCTGGCTCTGGCAGCCTGTGGCCGTGAAGGGTGAGGCCGAGGTGGGCCTTAGGGCTGTGGTGGAGGCCTTGGGTGGGAGGCAGGTAGGGAGCTCCGCCTGGAGCCCTGACCGCCCCTGCTCCTGCCCAGGTGGCTCTCCTACCTCCTGCTCTTCATTCTGGACCTGGTTGTCTGCCTCATTGCCTGCCTGGGACTGGCCAAGCGCTCCAAGTGTCTCCTGGCCTTGTGAGTATCCCTGCCTATGGGCCTGGTACAGAGAGCTGGGCAAGGTGCCACCGTCAGAGAGAGACGAGGGCCTGGCCAGGCACAGAGTTGGGGGTAACAGCCAGGCTTTCTGAAGCAGCTGCTGACTTACCGTCTGGTCACCAGACAGGCACTGGGCTCTTCTGTTTCCCTGTTGAGCAGCTGAAGAAACCTGGGCCTCAGCATCAGAGCCTCTGGCTGTCCAGTGTCCCTCAGCTCTAGACAGCAGGCTCCATGGCCTGTTCCTGCAATTAACAGAGAGATATCAAGGCAGGACCTGAGCCCAACAAGATGGTAGCCAAGGGCCCAGGGGGTGGGTGGAGTGGCAGCCATCATAGGGAGACATTGCTGACCTCTGCCTGGGACTCCACTGTTGTCCCTCCCCCAGGATGCTGTGCTGCGGGGTGCTAAGCCTGTTCCTCAGTTGGGCCTCCCTGGCCGCGGATGCTGCTGCAGCAGTGGTGAGTTGGGGGGGTGCTGTGGGTGGTAGGTGGTTTGGCCAGGACAGTCTGTCTGGTGATCACATGTCCTATCCAGGCCCCCAGGCAGGGCCAGCTTCCAGTCACAGCTCCTTATCTAGAAGGCCAGAATCACAGAACCAAAGGAGATTTATGTCATCTGGACCAGCCCTCTCGCCTCACAGATGAGAAAACAGGCCCAGAGAAGGGAAGGGTCAGAGCCAGGGCAGGACACCACGGCTTATCAGGCGTGCACAGGTGACCAGGTGGCTTCTCTCTGGTTGTGAAGAGTTAATTGGTCCAGTGGAGAGCTCAGAAGCATAACCCTTTGCCAGCCCCCACTGATTCAAGGGCCACACACTAACGCCCCATATGCATCTGTCCTGGCCTAGCAACCTGGGTGAGTATTAGGGGCTTCTGGTTGGAGCCCCCAGCCCCTAACTAAACTCACGCTATGCCCAGTGACTTGGGGGCTGGCCTGTAGCTACGGACTGGGCAGTTTGCCTCCAGATGCCCTCAGAATGAATGAATGGACCCTGGTGCTGCTTGGCACAGCAGCTTCTGGCAGAGGCTGTGCAGAGGGAGAGGTGTTCTCTCCTGTCTTTGCCTCCCCACCCTCCTATGCAGTGGTCACAGACCCAGGGCTGGTAGAGATAAGGGCAGGGCAGGGCAAGAGGGCCCAGATCATACCCAGAAGCATCCCAGTGGCATCAGGAGCAGGGAGGGCTGTCAGCAGTGCCAGAGCTGCTGGCCAGAGCGACGTGCACAGCTGCCTGGCTAGTGGCCTCTCCTCCATGGCCAAGTGCAAGCACAGGGAAGCTTGGCCCCTACTCCCTGGGCAGCCTGTACCTTCTAGAGGCAGTGGTGGCCTCAGCTTGCACCAGGAGCTGCTCTGTGGGAGCAGGCTCCCTCCCAGTGGGTCCTTCAGTATTCATAGAAACCAGAGTGATTGAATCTCCCAGCTGGGTACCCTGGAATGCAGGGAGCTGGGCAGAAAGGCCATTTCCCTAATTCCTTTAGTCAAGCCCTTGTGGGAGAGGGCCCATGTGGGGGGAGCTGAATGGGCCTTTGACAGGGCTAGGGACGCTGCTGCATTTCAATAGGAAGCTGAGGAGGAGCTGGGAAGGGAGGGCAGGGGCAGGCTGTGGAGAGCTTTTGTGTGGCCTTCCAGTGCCACCCTCCTCTGAGGCCAGAGGACTAACAAGGCCGCCCCTCCCTGCCCTTCACTGTCTCCAGAAAGGGCCCCCAAATGGTCCAAGCCCTGCCCCCTGAGATCTCCACAGGATGAAGAGAGAGGAGGTTAGGTGGGACTCTGGGGCTAAGCCCTGAGTCTCTGGGCCTTGTGGCCACCCCTTGTGGTCAGGTGTCTGAGTCACAGGATGCCTATGACTGAGAGCCACAGAATCTCCTGGCACCCTTCATAGGGATTCTGACATGCATATAGACAGGGAAGGGGGCAGGAAGGGAATCCTAGCTGCATGTCAGCATCTGGGGTCCAGGGACTCAGCCAGGCTCCCCCATGGTAATGGCACACAGGGGGCCCACCCAGTGGTTAGCCAGGGGCACAGCAGAGGGGCACTGTCCTCCAGTGATGGGATCCAGGGCTCCCTCAAGCCCTGCCCAGATGTGAAGGCTAGTGGGGGGTGTCAGGATTCAGCTGTGGTCACAGGAAGGGGTTGAATCAACCACTCCCAGCAGTACAGCCCAGGCAGAAGTAGAGGACACGCCAAGAAGGAAGGGGGAGGAAATGGATTGATTGAACAGTTGCTCTGACCATGAAGCACCTTGGACGGAGGAATTCAGCCATTGCAGGACAACCAGGCCGGCCCCAGGTGGGTGGGTAGGAATGTGGCCTCTGGAGCCCCCTGTCTGGACCCCTCTTCTTAGCAGTGAAACCTCAGAAAAATTACTGAAGTCCCCCCTGCTTCAGTTTCCTCCTGTGTAAACAGGGAGAATAAAAGGACTTGCCTCAAAGGGCCATGATCAGAAGCGATGAGTAAGTTAGTCCAATAAACAGTGGCCACCACTGGCCTCTGCACACTTATTATCATCGTATAGGGGCCACGGGGGCCCTGCAGACTCGCACCCCTGTTCTTGGAAACTGTCAGCAGGCTCCGCCATCAACTGGGCTGGGCACTGGGCAGCTTCTCCTACCTGCCCCATCTGGGCTCAGTGTCCCCTTACCTTCCTCTCCTCTCCTGCCATCCCTATCACCATCCCATCAGCGCACACACACGTGCACGTGTACACACACACAGGTACACACATCCCGGCACTTGCCTTTACTAATAGGAGTTGACTCTTCACTACGTCCTACACGTCCCAGGAGACGTAGGCTCAGAGGTAGCCAAGGGCCCTGAAGACTAGGTCTGGCAGGGAGGGGAGGGAGGAAGTCCACATCACTGGTGGATCTTTCAACCGAGACTCCTGTTCCTCTCCCTCCTCAGGTCCAAACTTTGTGGGGGTGACCCAGACTGATAGCAGTGGCCTCACTCTATTTTTCCCAAGGCTTCCCCAGCCCCCACTCAGGCCTGGCTGCCTTCCTTCTGCCTATTCAGCTAGTGGGTGGGAACGCACCACCCAGCCTGCCGGTGCTGTGGCTCTGATGGATAATAAGCCTGGCTGATTTATTATGAATGTTAGTGGTTGGTGTATAAAGCAATTCTCCCAGAGTTCTCAGTGTGTGAGATGTCGGAGGCGGGGGGGTGGTGGTTTGTACACACAGGGCTCTGGGAAGTTCTGTATCTAGAGGGGCATGTTATTCCCTGGCACCCCCATGCACACATTTTCTAGACTGTAAGTGGCTGGGATGAAGCTTGCCACTGTATCAGTGCCTGGTACCCAGTAAGGACTCAGTAAACACTGATTTCAGTGAGTGAATGAGTGGTACTGAGTGTGGACCCCTGAGGCAGTGACTTCTGCAGGAGGACAGGGTCACTGGCAGATCAGGGCCACCAGAGGGGTCCCCTGCCTGGGAGCATGCACCAGAAGAGGGGCAGCCCCAGGCATGCGGGAAAGATCGGCGCTCAGCCTGCCTACTCAGAAAGGCAGACTTTACTCAGTCCCAAGGGCACCCCAGCCAGATCTGGGATGGGCCTAACTCGGAGGACACATCCTTATTGCCAACCCCTCCCAAGGCCTGTGTCTGCTCTCACTCAGGGGCATGGGGCTCAGTGGTCAGCTAGTCAGGCCCCCAAGCTCGTCGTCTGTGTCCTCCGACTCCCAGCCCTGTACCCTGCCCGTGTCCTGCCTCCGCAGGTGAAGACCTGCACACGAGGGCTTGTGGATGGATTCAGCTCTGACCACAGTCTTTAGAAAGAGAGTCTGGGGCAGGCTTCATAGATTGACTATCAGGCAAGTAGGCTTTGGTACCAGCAAGACAGAAGGGAAAACAGATGAGCAGATGAGGCCACACGCACAGCCCTGCACACAGCCCACAGCTGGCCCAGGGCCCAGGCTCACCACCCAAGGTCTGTCCCATAAGAGGCATTTAGGAATAAGAGTCATGGAAGACATGCTCTCTGCCCATGTCACTTTTCTGAACACTCTATACATTAATTCATAATGTTAATAGTGTTATCTGCACATGACGAAGAAACTGAGACACGAGGGAGTGAGGATCACGGGTGCATGGTAACACGCCAAGACGGGGCAGAGTCAGGATTCGAGGCAGTCTGCTCCCAGGGGCCCATGTCAAACTTGCCTCTGTCCTCTCCCATCTCTCCCTGCCACAGGGCACCAGTGACTTCTGTGCAGCTCCTGACACCTTCATCCTGAACGTCACACAGGGCCGGGTCAGCACAGGTAACACTCCGGGCCTCAGCGGTCAGGGCCACTCTGCATGGTCAGCTGAGCCCATGTGGCCCACCAGACTGTGCCTCTACTTACCTCTTTCAGTCCTGTAGTCACCTAACCCCTCCCCACCCTCAGATTTCAGATCCTCTGGGCTATTTCCTGGAAACCACCTCCTTTGGAAACTAGGGATGGGGGAGGAGGCTGGGTTTGTCCACAAGGATGGTACAGGGGCTGGTCATTTGTGAGCTGCCTTGACACCAATGCCCTTGCCTTGCAGAGGTGACCAGCTACTACCTGTACTGCAGTCAGAGTGGAAGCAGCCCCTTCCAGCAGGTATGGCCACCCAGCCCCATCGTCCCTCAGCACTAGGTCAACCCACTCCTGACAGAGCCCGACCACTGGCCAGGAAGGTGAAGCAGCTGGGCCTTCCCTATACACTGTGGTCCTCCCCTCAGCCGCTTCCCTGTAGGGGCTATACTCTTGGTCCGTGTGTAGATTAGTGGGTTTTATGTGGCTCATGCTCAAACACTGCTCGAGGTCCAGGGTAGAACCAACATTCTGGGTTTCTCACAAGCTCCTCGCAAAGCTGATGCTCCTGGCCTGAGGGCCATGTTTGAGTGGCAAGAAACAAGAGGACTGTGTGGCACTCAAGAGTCCCAAGGGACAGGAACAGGGTGGACAGAAGCACTGGCCCCTTGGTCGCAGTAGGGCTCTTGGTTGCAGTAGAGCTCCTGGGAGGTGGAGCCTCACAGCAGGGCTGTGTCTCTCTGGCCCAGACGCTGACTGTCTTCCAGCGTGCACTGACCACCATGCAGATCCAGACCTCGGGGCTTCTGCAGTTTGCCGTGCCCTTCTTCCCCACCTCGGAGGTAAGGTTGCCGCCTCCCATGCATCTGTGCAGAAAGGCCCACATGAGCCCTGGAAGCCCTCTCCCCTGCCATGGCCCCCACCCCCAGGGCCAGGCTGCAGAGAGCTGGCCGAGGCCCTTTGTACCCCTGCCCCCACCCGGCACTGGACTCCTTCCTGGGTGCTAAAGGCCTCTTCGCACAGCTGCGGCTGTGGTATTGGCTGTCTGCCCTCCCCCCATAGCTCAGGCATTGCCTCTTCCTCTCTCCCTGCTTCAGAAAGATCTGCTTGGAATCCAGCTTCTGTTGAACTCGTCAGAGTCCAGCTTGCACCAGCTGACGGCCATGTTGGACTGCCGGGGGCTGCACAAGGTGTGGCCCTTGGAGTGTGGGTGGATGGGGAGGAGGATACAGACCCAGGAGCAGGGCTGAAGCTGCACAGTGGGAGAGGGAGAAGGTGCCTGGCTTCCAGGTTCTCTCCCATGGCTGATGCAAGGATGCTCAATAAAGGTGACCAGTGGTCAGGGACAAGTGCTGGGGGACCCTGACCAGTGTGAGAGGAGGCTGTTCCCCATCTGGACTGCCAGACATCTGGCCAACCCATCTCACTACCAGGTTGCAAGTGGATGTCCCTAACCCTTGCCAGGGTTATCTTTTCAGGAGTGTCGGATAGACATGATGATGCATTGAGAACATGTGAGCACCCCTGTCCCCAAGCAGATAGCCAGTGTACGTCCTTACCTTTCGCATCCCTATGGCTTTCTGGCAAATAGTCATCATAGCGATCAGGGCTGCCAGTGCTGTGCACGCTCTGTACTCTATATCCAATGTGTCACTTGGTCCTTGCGGTTACACTATGTTATATCATGAGAAGTTTTACACGAGGTAATTAAACTACATGTTTATGGATGGATGGACGTAGACATGCACACGTGTCTGTACATGTACATACCTGGGCATCTCTACAGAGGCGCCTACTGGAGAGTTAGAGCTGCAAGTCAAGGGCTTGGGTTTGGACCTTGGTAGTGTGACTTCAAAGCTACGAACAGGGCACCACCTGTGTCCTCTCCCTCTCACTCTCCACTAATCCCTTAGCAGGTCCCAGCAACTGTACTCTGAGACATCTCCTGAATCCATGTGTTTCTCTGCATTTTCACAGCTGCCACCGCTGGCCAGCCCTGCCCCTCCTCCCACCTTCTGCCCCCTTGCCACCTGTGACCTTCCACACATCCTTTCCATACCCAGCTTCTCTGATGTCCTCCTGACCCTTCATGGTAAAATCCAAACTCCTCTCCTGCCCTGCAAGGCCCAGCCTGACCACCCCCTCTGGCCCCATCTCCTGCTGGCCTGTCTTGCCTTTCCTGGACATGTTGAGCTTGTCCTCTTTGCCTCGTCTTCTCAAGGTGTGCTCTTTTTGCCGTCTTGGTCTCAGCTTACCTGCTACCTGGCTCTGGCTCCCCACACCCTGCTACCTTCTCTGTCCTGCTCAAAGCCAGCCTTTCAGTGCCTGGCACACAGTAGGTGTTCAGCAAATGTTTGTAGGGAACTCAAGAAGTCCCTGGTGCAAGCTCCAGAGTGTGGACCTTGAGTGTGGCAGTGTGGAGTATTAGGGATGGGGAACAGGCACTAGGCATCCCTAGTCCTGACTGGGGAAGATCTCAGACCCAGGCTTTGCCCCCAAGTGCACATTCCTCCTCCTCTTCCTCCAGGACTACCTGGATGCGCTCACTGGCATCTGCTATGATGGCCTTGAGGGCTTGCTCTACCTCGGCCTCTTCTCTCTCCTGGCTGCCTTGGCCTTCTCTACCATGATCTGCGTGGGGCCGTGGGCCTGGAAGCACTTTACCACCAGGTGGGCAGGGAGCCTCCTACAGGCTGGGAGCTTCCCCGGGGAGCAGACGGCGGCTCTAGTCTGTGACTACTGAGAGCCAATACTCGGGCTGAGAAGGGCAGCAGAGGGCCAGGCATTCAGCCCCAGCAGGCTGGCTGGCCATCTGTAGAAGCTTTCTCAGGAGTCTAGACTTACCCCCAAAGGGAGGCCCAGGGCAGGAGTGGGGGTTGAGGTGCTGACAGTTCTGAAGCCACAGCCCAGCATCCCTTTGGTCTCCTCTGCTCCTCAGCAGGACTTTGTAATATGGGATAATGAGAGATTTTGGCCCTGGGAGGGGGGCTCCTGGGAATCTAAGAAGGATAAATTGTATCACTGCCATCGGGGAACCACAATCCCATTGAGGAGATAAGAGAGGCAAGGTGGTGTTTGGGCCTACATGCGGATAGTCAGCCCGGCGAGCATCCTGGAAGAGGTGGCCATGAAGATGGGAATGGGGCCAAGTGATCTGTGGGAGGCAGGGCCCAGGACCATGTTTAGAGGAATCTCAAAGAGACAC